TGTGACGAAATAAATTTTGATAAAATTAATTTTGTCACAATATAATATATTTCTTGTAGTATTAGTAAGCTAGATTTAAGATCGGGATATCACTAAATTAGGGTCCACCTAGAGGATATGCCTAAAACAGCCTTCTGTACCCATGAAGGCCATTATGAATTCTTGGTAATGCCCTTTGGGCTTACCAATGCCCCGGCAACCTTCCAAAGCCTTATGAATGACATCTTTAAACCTTATTTATGAAAGTTTATATTGGTTTTTTTTAATGACATTCTTATCTATAGTAAAAACTTTTCTGACCATGTTCATCATTTACAAACTGTTTTGGACATTTTAAAAGAGCACCAGCTTTTAGCAAAAAAAATCTAAGTGTTGTTTTGGATGTGTTGAAATTGAGTATCTTGGTCACCTAATCTCAAATCCCTAAACTATAAATAACCCCTAATGCCACCCATTTTCTTCACAACTCTCAACTCTCATTCTCTCTACTCAAATTCTCAAACTCTCTTCAATTTCATCTATTATTCAATTTATTATTTATATTTATTCATTATTCACTTTCATCCATTTTAGTTATTTATTATTTTATCATAATGGATTACTCAAATTATGGATTCGAATGATCATCATCCTCAAATGAGTATTGTGTTCAAATTCCTTCATCCACCTAAGAAATGGAAGGGTTTGTTCTATTTTCACCATTTCCAGAAGCAGCAATTCCAAATCTAGACATAGTCGAGACTACGTCCAACCAAACACAAGCAAGCTACGACACCACAACAAGACCGACGAAGAGGGCCATGTCCGAGGTAGGGCAATTTTTCACTAAATCAAAACGGGCAAAGCCAAATGGGTTGGGGGAAAAGACGTGCGGGATATGCAATTTTTGTCAGACCACGATCAATGTTGAGAATGGGACTTATACTATGAGGTGACACCTGGAGAAGAAGGACCCCCAATTAACAAAACATGGTTTAACTTTAACCGGAACCATTAAGCAAATACGAATTCAACTTAATTTTAATCCACAATCCTCAACTCTCTCAAACTAGCAATACAATGCACTCACTGCACAAGAGGAAGTAGCAAAATATATAGTTATTAAAGACTCTCCCATTTCTTTATCTGAAAATGTATTTTTTGGTTATCTGATTAGAAATGCTTTTTGTCCACAATATAAGCATCTTAGTATAGGTATAAGTACAAATGACATAGGAAGACTTTATACTAAAATGAGTGATAAACTTAAAAAGGAATTTGAAAATTTTCAGAATATATCTATTGCACTTACTTCTGACATATGGGCTGCTTGATCAAAAAACATATTTTTTGAGTGTCACAATACATTACCTAGATCATAGTTGGGGTTTACAACAAAAATTGATAGGTTTTAAACCATTATATGCTAAACATAGTGATAACACTATTTATTTTACAATTATTTAAGTTTTGCAAGATTATTTATTATTTGAGAGAGTTGTGGTGCTAACGCTTGATAATGCAGCTACTAACACTACGACAATTTCTTTATTTCAAAAGAAATTAGATCCATTTGGTGAAGGCAATTTTTTTACCAGAGATGTGCTTGCCACACGATCAATTTGATTGTTAAAGCAGGTTTAGAAGCTATACATGCGAGAATTGATAGGGTGTGTTGGCTATCGGATTCATTACTGATAGCAATACAAGATGGAATGAGTAAGTCAAATATTGTCACCAAGAGGAGCTATCGGTTCAACCAAAGAAGCTATGTTGCAACATGTCTGTTCGTTGGAACTCCACGTACTTGATGTTGCAAAAATCTATGACCGCAAGACAAATTACAAATTTTGTCAATCGAAAGAACTATTCGAACGAAGTTGTCAGCGGTTCTAATTGGATGGTTTGCAGTATTTTTCATACATTTCTTAAAGTTTTTTATGATCCCACTAATACATTAAGTGGTATTTATTATCCTACTACTAATTTAGCGTTAGATATTTTACTTCAAATTTGTAAAACTTTTGTTAGACATAGATATAATTCAAAGTTAAGTTCAGTTGTTTCAGAATTGGAAGCAAAATACCATAAATATTGGTTAGATATTTCATTCTTATATGGATTAAGTCTTATTCCTAGGTTTAGATCAAACATATTTAATTGTATAGTTATTGAGATAGGCTAGCATTTAGAATATGACTACAATTCATATTTGATAGAATTTAATAGCAAATTGGAAAGCCTTTTTTCTTTCTATCAGAATAGGTACAGTGGAACGCCCATTAGAGATGACCAACAGGAAGCTGATGAAGACATTCATCAATAGGGATTGAGCATCGGGACGTATATGGAACTTAGTACCGGTGGTGGTAGATATAATAGCTCTAGCGTGTACAGACATGGACTAAATGAGCTACAACGGTATTTAGAAACGGACATGTCCTACATGACCAAGAGCGAGAAACGCGAGATGGATATGCTTCAATGGTGGGAGTAAAATGCAAGTTGATTCCCCATTGTAGCCCAAATGGCACATGACATTTTATGGATGCTAGTTTCCACAATTAATTACATCTGAGCTAGCATTCTCAATTAGTGGTTGCATTGTTGAAGATATAAGATGTTCTTTAACCAGTAAGATGATTGAAGTCATTACATTTTTACAAGATTGGATTCATGGAGGCAAAAGACTACAGTATCACCCTGAAGATCTCAAACTACTAGACCTCTTCAAAAATACAGATTTCGACAATGTAAATTAATTATTAAATAAAAACAACTTTATTTAATTGTTTACCTTTAAATTAAATTTACACATTGTGAATATTATATTTATGCTAAAATTAAATTACTCTTTAAATTAAAACTATAAAAATTTATAACAATCCATTTATATTTAATTAATTGTTTAAGTTCAAATTAAATGTTCACATTGCGAAACTATAATTAAATTATCTCTTTAAATTAAAACCATTAAAACCATTCATTTATATTTATTTACTAATTAATTAAAAAATTTACAAATCACCCTTGAAAAATTACATAAATCCCCTTACATAAATATCTATTTAGTCCAAATATAAAAAAAAATTGGGAGGGCTAAATAAATTGTTTCAGGCCCATACGACCAGTTTGGGCCCTAGGAAAACTCATGAGCCTAGGACCGGTCCTTTAGGATTTATGCTTGGTCTTTGAAGGATTGGTCCCAATTGAGGGCCCAAGCTTGGACCCGGGCCTTGCCCACCTCTAACTTAAACTAAATTTGAATAAAATAAAATGGGAAAGGGAAGTATAATAAAATAAAGAATATTGAAGTCTTTTCNTTGCCAACATTTTGTTGGGATTGTGGAGCCAAATTCAATCCAAATTGGAGTTGGATTAGGACATGGGTTTTCCTAATTTGTGTTTACGTAGAATTGTTTTCTTTTAAGAATACAATTAGGAATAAGATTATAATTTTATTAAGAATTAAAATATAATTCCTGTTAGGATATGGGTTTGAGTCCTATTAGGAGTAGTGTCCCATGTATTACCTATAAAAAGGGGTTAAGTGTTAGAGTTAGATAACACAAAATTGAATAGAAGACAAAGCCACAATTAGAGAGTGAAAGGCACCAAATAGGGTTTAGTGGGTGAGCCAATTTGTGAGGCTTATGAGAGATTATTGTAATTTCTTTTCTTATTTTTCATAGTAAAATTTCACAGTAGCAAAGTAGATGTAGCTCTCATACGAAGAGTGAACCGCTATAAATCTTGTGTTTGTGTTTGTGTGGTTATTTTGTGTCCTTTGTTTTTGCTTGCAGGGATTTAGGACTTGCTAGTATTCAATTAAATTCCCCCAATAACTGGTATCAAAGTAAGGTTCAAGGAAGAAAGTGATGATTGGAGAAGAAGGAGGATCTGCAACTGGGATCAACAAGTTTGATGGAGCAGATTACGCATTTTGGAAGATGCAGATTGAAGATCATCTATATGGCAGAATGTTACATCTACCTCTTCTAGGAGCAAAACCCAAAAAGATGTCAGATGAAGATTGGGCACTCCTTGATAGACAAGTATTAGGACTCATTCAGTTGACATTGACCAAGAACATGGCAAGTAACGTGGCGAAGGAGACAACCACAACAAGATTGATGAAGATCTTGTCTGATATGTATGTGAAGCCTTCTGCAAATAATAAGGTACATCTTATGAAAAAAATTATTTAATCTTAAGATGAGAGAAGGTGCTTCTGTGATAGAGCATATGAATGATTTTAATACAATTATTAATCAACTATCATCTGTAAAAATTGATTTTGATGAAGAAGTTCGTGCCGTAGTTCTTATGGTCTCCTTACCAAATAGTTAGGAGCCTATGAGAGCAGTAATTAGTAATTCAACAGGTAGTGCGAAATTAAAACTCACAGATGTTAGAGACAAAATTCTCGTTGAGGAGGTTCGCATGAAAGATTCGGGTGAGATAACATCGAATTCTTTGAATGTTGAAACAAGAGGTAGGGGCTACGATAGAAAATCAAACCGAGGCAGAGGAAGATCAAAATCAAGGAATGGAAGACGCAAGTCTAGGTTTGGGAAAAAGGTTGAGTGATGGAATTGTGGCAACAAAGGCCACATACAGAGCAATTGCAAAGCACCAAAAAAAGAGGAGAACAATGATAATCACGCCGCCAGTGTTGTAACTGAGGAGGTACAAGATGCTTTATTTTTATCTGTTGATAATTCTATTGACTCTTGGGTTTTAGATTCAGGAGCTTCATTCATACCACTGCACATCGTGAAATTCTAGAAAATTATGTGAGTAGGAATCATGGAAAGGTATATCTAGCAAATGGAGAACCTTTGGATATTGTAGGTATGGGTGATGTTAGGTTGAAGATGGCAAACAAATTTGTGTGGAAAATCCAGAAAGTAAGGCATATACCAAAATTGATGCGCAATCTAATATCAGTTGGGCAACTTGACGATGAAGGCCATAGTGTGTCTTTTTTGGGTGGTGCATGAAAAGTTACTAAAGGAGCCATGGTGGTTGTTCGTGGAAATAAAACTGGAACTCTTTACATGACTTCTAGTTACAGAGATTCAATTGCAGTCACAAATGCTAGTATTACCTCAAGTTTGTGGCATTGTAGGCTTTGGCATATGAGCGTGAAAGGAATGAAGGAGCTTCAATCAAAAGGAAAACTGCCAAAGTTAAAGTTGATTGATCACAGTTTGTGTGAAGGTTGCATCCTTGGCAAACAAAGAAGAGTAAGTTTTTCTAAAGTAGCAAGGGAGCCAAAGGCAAAGAAGTTGGAGTTGGTTCATACAGACATGTGGGGACCCGCTTTTGTGTCATCCCTTGGAGGCTCAAAGTATTATGTGATGTTCATTGATGAGGTGAGTAGAAAGGTATGGGTGGTTTATTTTTTGAAAAATAAATCTGATGTTTTTTTATACTTTTAAAAAGTGGAGAGCCATGGTTGAAAATGAGACAAACCTAAGGGTGAAGTGCTTGAGATCCGATAATGGAGGAGAATAAATTGATCAAGGGTTCAAAGAATATTGTGCCAATAATGTGATCAAGATGGAGAAGACCATTCCTGGAACTCCTCAACAAAATAGTGTCGCTGAAAGGATGAACAGNAATTTATCTCCAAATCACATATTAAAACGTTTTCTTAGGTTGTGCTTTAATAACATGTTAAAATATATTAGAAGACAAATAATTTATTTATTTTAGATATTAGGATTTTAAATTGTACATATTATTCCTCGCTTATGAATAAAGCATAATATAATATCCTTTGGTTAATTTATTTTTCTTAAATTACACGTGCATAATCATCCCCACATATTTTAGTTAAATTTTAATGCATTTTACATTTTGTATTTTTATTAGTTAAATAATAAAAAATAAAAGGATTCAAGCCACCTATTTGTGCGGCCAACAGATTTGTAAGCAATTGGGTTTCTGAAACTCAATCTCGCAGCTGGGCTGCAAGAGTCAAGTGCGCTTTGGGCGCTCACCCGCGTGGCTAAGAGGAAGCGTCAAATTCAATAATTCATCATACAAACAACCCTCCCGATCAAGCTAACAACTCTGAACTCTCTGCCGTTGTTGCTTTCATCTCAGGATCTCTCTATGCAGTTTCATTGGTATCCAGCTTCGGCGGACGCTCGTTTGGGTATATGAGCTTGACTGCATGGGCTTTTGCATCTGTTTTGGTTGGCTATAAACATACCAACTTATCAATTAAGGAAATCAATGATTGGATTGTCTAGAAGATTAAGGATAGTTGTAGATGGCTTTACCAGAAGGTCTGTCATTTGTCAAGCAGGTTATGGAGCAATCAGCCGCTACTCTACTATCCCTTTAATTTTTAGGTGCAGAGGAGTTCTTGTTTGATTGTTTAATTTTATTTCTTTTGTATGTAATAATCTGCTGAAATGACGGGTAAATTTCGGAAGACGATTTATTTTAGAAGGAAGAAAATAATAAAAATATAAATATAAAAAGAATATGGAGAAAGATTGCAGCTAGCTTTAATTAAACACAGAAAACCCCTAGATTTGATATATGTCTGAGATTCTCTTATTTTTAGCATATATGTAACAAATATTAAAAAAATAAAACAAAAAGGTGAATTTTTTGAGTTTGAGTAAGAGTCTAACCTCTTCAAGTTGCAGTTGCAGGCATGGATTTGCTTCTTCTTTGATGTCCTCTTATTTACTAAAGCTTTCTTCATTCATCCATTTTGAGTTGGGAGTTTCTGGGAATTGGGACATAGCTCGAGAAGATTGCAGCTAGCTTTATTTAAACACACACACACACACACACAAAAAAACCAGATTTGAAGTATTGTGGTTTTTCAGCTCAGTTTCTCTAATTATTAGCAACTAAAAAAATAAAAGAATGCAAATCTTTTTACTTTGACTGTAAGAGAGACTAACCTCGCAATTGCAGGCCATTGGTTTTCATCTCTTAATTAGTAAAGCCGTCTCCAGTCTTCGTCCACTTTGAGTTAAGAGATCCTGGGAATTGGGAAACAGCCGTAACGTGATATTTTATTTCAAAACCTCGTACCAAAAGTCTTTATTGCCCTTATGAATAGTGGGTTTTTAAAATTTCCTCCGGGTTTGGGAAAGTAAGAAAGTTTCAAAAAGTAACAAATACACCCCAAAAATTTTCATATCTCTTAAAATTTGAACTTTTCCCTAGAAAGACAGAGAATTTTTTTATTTATAATATTATTTTCAATTTTTACTTCTTTAATTTATATTTTAACTATATGTATTATATGTAAATAAAGAATATAAGTTGGGAAGGGGAAAATTAGTTTTTTGACATGATATTTAGGTTTTACTTTAATTAATACTTTATTATATATAAAAAAAATTATATACTTAAACTAAATTTGAATAAAATAAAATAGGAAAGGGCAATATAATAAAATAAAGAATATTAAAGTCCTTTCAAAATAAAATTTCAGATTTTGTTGAGGATATTTAGAAAACCTTGTGTAACTGTTAACTTTCTCACAATTTATCTCCAAATCTCATATTAAAATGTTATCTTAACGTGTGTTTTAAGAGTATGTTAAAAGATATTAGAAGACAAATAATTTATTTATTTTAGATATTAGGATTTTAAATTGTACATATCATTCCTCGCTTATGATTAAAGCATAATATAATATCCTTTGGTTAATTTATTTTTCTTAAATTACACGTGCATAATCACCCCCACATATTTTAGTTAAATTTTAATGTATTTTACATTTTGTATTTTTATTAATTAACTAATAAAAAATAAAAGGATTCAGGCCACCTATTTGTGCGGGCCGACGGATTTGGAAGCAGTTGGGTTTCTCAAACTCGATCTCGCAGCTAGGGTGCAAGAGTCAAGTGGGCTTGGGCCGCTCACCCGTGTGGCCCAACCCACTTAACCCGTTGGTAAATATCTTATCAGTATTCACAATTTGTTTTTCTTCTTAAAAATAGATCGAATTAAATTAAAAGTATCAAAGAATTCAAAAAGCCTTTTACTTTTTTGAAAATTGCCTTAGAAAATGAATTGATATCCTTTATAATCTTCTTTTTGTTGTCTAGAAAAGCATGTATGGCTTGAATTTAACAAAGCTCAAGTGGGAGACAAGATGAATCTTCAACTTTTAATGAGACAAGATGATAAGACCAACGACCTAATTTAGGATCGTTGGATTCATCACATTAACTATTAACAATTTTTAACGGTCACCATAGTTCACTCACGACACCTAGGGGACTTTTTATTTTAGAAACATTAAAAGAATTTTGGGTTTTTAATTAAACCTCTTGATGGGTCAATGTTAATAACTCTGTTGTAAAATATCAAAAGCTAAATCCACTATAACGTTTCATTTCCTAAAACAAAATTTATTAAAAATTTGGTCGGATTTATATGCAGCTTAAGAACACAAGTTAATATTGTAAGGAATTGAGAGAGAGAGAGAGAGAGAGAGAGAGAGAGAAGCAATTTAAAATGAGTAATGCTACAGTTACCGATGGGTGTGCATCGAATTTGTGCACCGAATGACGTGGCAAAATCCTGACCGTTGATTTATTATCAGTTAATATTAATCAACGGTCAGGATTTTGTCACGTCATTCGATGCACAAATTCGGTGTAAACTTTTCGGTAACTCTATCATTTTCCATTTAAAATAATGACACTGCTAGAGTATACCTAGAGAAAGAAAAAAGAGAGAAGAATTTATATATATTCAGTATATTGTAAGTCTGTACAATAGCTAATTTATACAAATTCTGTAAATATAGAAAAAGAAAATAATGAATACAAATAAATATAATTATTCAATCAATCAAATAAATTAGGATTAGGATGATTGATTAAATATCAAAAATCATTCCTTAATCTCAGTCAACAGAAGTAAAAGAATAATTATAAAAAATCTGTGCGTATCATATTTCGTCAAATATTATTATAGTTTATTATGTATAAAAAGATTAATATATCGAATTATTTAGTATGTAATAATCTTAATATTTATCCTTATGGCAATAACTCAAAATTAATAGGAGAAGCAATTCGTTGAAAAAAGATGAGAAAATTAGTTGTGTAAAGTTAAAGCGTACTGCCCAAGACATCTTAAAGAAATAAAACAAAGCATATCAGCGTCCGTACAAAAAAGAATATTCAAATGAAATGATAGCATAAATCATACTCTCTTATTTTAATTCCCCACTGTCCAGTCCTCTCAAGCTGGATTTATTTGTATCTAATTTGCATGCAGGACGAAACTACGTTCAGGTGAGTGGACAAGGATCTGGATATTTAATTTTATTGTTATTATTATATGAGTGTGGTCAACAGATCCTGGTCCACTCAAAGGATTATAGTAGAACGAAGACGAACAAGTCTAGAGAAGAGCTTATTTATTCATATATAATATAAAATAGAAAATGGTAGATGGAAAAAAATCTACAATTGATCATGCCCTTTAAGTTGTACCTTGCTTTCTACCACATCGTTTCAAACAAACTATAACATTTATCTAGTTTTAAATTAGTATGTAATTGATTCTATTATGGAATCATAAAATAGTTATTAAGATTAATATATTGTTTAACTCTCACCTATTAGTTTAAGATTTTAGATGAAATAACAACTTAACACTTACCATTGAATCCCCAAATGACAACGTAATATTTTCTTTTATAGAGATGTTTAATGAAACCGATTTAAAGAGAATGAAGAGAGAGTTATAGTAGAAAGATTCTGACGGGCGGTGGCTTGTGGACGACAGTGGACGGTGGTGGAGAGAAGGAGGTTTCAATGACCACTGTTGGAGGAAAATGAGATTTAGTTTTTCTTTTTTAATAAATAATTATTGTTTCCAGCCAATTACAAAACGTGGAGGAGAAGATTTGCTTGTGGATTGTATGAAAAAATTAATTAAGTGAATAAGACATGGGATTTAATGATAAAGACACAGAGAAATAAAGCAAAGTAAATTTGTCTGAGAAAGAAGGCAAAAGGGAGTGGTGATGGATGGCGTGGCGACTGCCACAAACCCTCTTTAGAATAACGCAAATCTTATGAGCTTTAAGAATCTAATTGAAGTGGTGACAAATCAGTCTCTTCAACATTCTAAATGACCCTTTTCCTATTCCTCATAAGATTTTTAAACTTATAATAAGAATAAAAATTCCAAAGACAATGTGGGGATTCAAGCAGTGGAAGACTAAAGAAATGGTTTTCTAATCTCTTTATTCCTTTCTGAATCGGCAATATAAAAGTCATGACATTCTCTATCAAAGTTTGAGCTTCTGTTCATATATAAATGAATATATTGCATTTCTTTTTTCTCTTTTTTTTTTTTTTTTTTTTAAATTAAATAATTAAGAGTGATGATATTGACCTCCATCTTTTATCTGAAGAGACCCCACTAATTATTTTTCTTTAATTACAAGTTAATTTATCTTTCATATAATTGCAAAATTAGACATAAAAATTATTACAAAGAACACGACATCTATATTAAACCTTTTTGCAAATGNTATTTAATTTTAGCATTTAGAATTAAAATCTAAATCAAAGTATGATACCTGGAAATTACCTTTTTGACCCCTTGTAATTTGCATAAAATTTACACTTTAAATTTCAAGTTCTGGAAATTTACACAAAAACCCCAAAACTTTCTATTTTGCTAAACAGCCCCCTGGATGAATTAACAAGACAGATTTCCAGGGGCTGCGTGTTTTGGCCAAAAACAACCTTCCCGAGGATTGAGCTAAAATTTTACAGAATCATTCATCAACATGTTAACAACATTCAGCAAAAATTCATCCAAAAATAATAACATTATGGGCAACCAAAAAACATAACATTGTTACATAGGATCCCAAAACGTCATTAAACCTATATTAGCATTAAAACGTTATAACCAATGGCTCTGATACCACTGTTGGGGTAAGGAACGTTTAGCGGAAGCGTCCAATTGCCAGGATTTTAAAACTTCCTCCCCAATTGCGCCATTATAATCAAGGTAATAACGATTTAATGCAAATAACACATGCATGTATATATGTATCTGTTATAACTATTCGCATCAAATTAACCAAAAACAACAGCAAATCACATAGCACAAATCGAACAGAAAAATGCACACACAACACAACAAGATTTACTGTG